AAAAAAAAAAAACAAAAAACCAACTCCTGGCACGGACGTAGCACTAAGCTAGCAGCGCGCAATACAAACGCACTAGGTAAAAAGCTATGACTATGGCTCCATCTTTGTCATGCTGAGCTGTCTCCAACACCCTCCCCCCACTGTCTGAAAACTGTCTGTACAAACTGCGCGCAACACAGACGTGTCTCTGTCTCCAGCCTCCACACCCAATCGAAAAATATCACAGAAGATATGAGCGCCCTGCCAAGGCAAGTAAAGTAAGGGAAACATTGCATCCATTACATTTACTCGCTTCTTCCTTTCCGGGCCACGGGGGTCACTGATGCCCACTTCACCACTTGCTCTTGCCGAGGTCAGATATTTTTCTCCTCCTCTCCCTCGCCGCTTTGCTTTGCTGCTCTGTCCTGTCTGTGAAACTGTTTCTGAGCCTCTCTTCTACATATCTTCCGAACCATAATTTTGGACTTGGATTTGTCAGTTGGTCCCTCAACACAATTGAGAACATTTCTTCGAAGAGAAGACAGGCTTTAGGCAAGCCCTGTTGACGCACACGAAGCTGGATATCTCATCGACTTGAAGACTTGATGTTTCTATCTCTGCTGCCATTTGTGGATTTTAAGGATGCATTTATAAGTGAATTTACGATAACTGTTCCTTGATTGTAGATAAACCAGCAACCAGCCGAGTCCAAAAAGCAGGACTCGGCTGGTTGCTGGTTTATCTACAATCAAGGAAGTCGCCGGCAGCAAATTTGGACCCGATAATGCCGCTTGCCTTTTATGATGGCTTGGGTCGTGCCTCAAGCACCCAGACTCAAATGCTTTTGGCAGAATGGATCAGATCTCGGATATTATTCTCAGGCACGGTCCATTGATGTGGCCATGTAATTTGGACATTTCAGAACTGAGTGGACCAACACAAACTCAAGGTAGATGTCATTAAGTTCTGCCTGTCCCCAAAACAACTGTGTTTATCTGAATTTTGCTCCCTGACTGGCCTTGAAGGCCACCTTATCTGAATTCGCCTGAAGAAAATGTAATCCGACAAACCCCCCCCCCCCCCCCCCCCCCCAGTGGAGGAATTCCAACTGATCAATCTGAGGGAACAAGCTGAATAAACATTGTGTCATCATTTCTGGACTTTTGGATTCCCAAAGGTGTTGTCCTTGGCTATTCCCTGACATCCCCTGAGAATGTTTACAGATCTCACCAGAAGACACTGGCTGATTATTCCATCCTTATCAGAACTCCTACAGTGCCCTCGAGAGCGTCCTTGGACATGCTCACCGCTCTTGTCGTCTCCCCCCCCTCTGTGGAATGTCTACATCACCATGTGCTTGTATGTGCGAGGTGTTTTTTCAATATCAGGTCTTTCTTCTCAGCCAAGAAGAAAAAGTTTGATAGGAAATTTTTTTTGCCTCCAATTCTTACGTGTCCAGTTTCCCTACTTTTTTTGTCTGTCTAAACAGATCTCACTTGTAAATGAGTCTTCGAGGCTCAGTGTGATTTATCTGTCTAAATAAAGGTTGAATTGAATCCAGCAGTCACTATGTGAGAGGCGGGGGACGCCCTGGACAGGTCGCAAGCCCATCAAAGGGACACATACAGACAAACAACCATTCACTCTCTCACTCACACCTAGAGACAATTTAGAGTTACCAGTCAGCCTAACATGCATGTTTTTGGTCTGTGGGAGGAAACTGGAGTACCTGGATCAATCCACGCATGCACAGAGAGAACATGCAAACTCCACCCAGAAAAGTCCCCAGCCGGGATTTAATCCAGTTTCTGTTCAGTGCCCTGAGATGACTTCTGTTGTGACTTGGCGCTATATAAATAAACTGAATTGAATTAAATCTGGGGGGTGTAGTTTGGGTCTTCTTACAGACCTTGTCGAAAGTGGTGACACATTTAAATCACCTGTTTATACAGTTATTTAAACTTTTGATTTTGGAAACTGAAATGTTTAGAAAAGGCTTCAAAAAAACCTTTCCAACTTTTTGTAAATCTAGTATTCTTTTTGGATCTTTACTTTACCTTGGACTTTCCCATTGTTCTGAGAAATGGTCAAGCTAATGACGCTTGTCAAACAAATTATTTTTGTGGTGGCAAAACAAAACTACCTGCTTGGTTGTCAAGTTAAGTTATTGTAGAGACTTTAACTGTACGTATAAAGATTTAGACGAATCTTCTTCTTTCGGCTTTTCCCTCTTTAGCCGTCACCACAGCGAGTCATCCTCCTCCATCTCACTCTGTCCTCTGCGTCCTCTGTCCTCACTCCAACTGCCTCCATGTCCTCTCTAACGTAAACTCATTTCAACTGTGCTTGGATTTATTTTCTCATTATTTATTCAATTTTCTCTAAAACAGAGCTCATAAAAACCACAGTACAATATACACAAAATGTTTGTTCTTTTAATTGAGCATGACAAATATTCATCAAAATCTCCAACTTGATATGCTGGAACTATTTGTTTCCTATCTTTTATTGAAGTTGTAAAATTTTCTTGCTGTAATAATGAGGTTTATACTCACGTGTGTCTTATTTTTCCTTGTCTGGTGTGTGTTCAGGGTGTGCGAGCTGCAGGAGCTGGGAGAGTTATCCCCCTGCTGGGAGAGTCTGCGGCGTCAGATCATCTCTCAGCACCAGTCTATGATACAAAGATACCAGGAAACGCTGTTTGACCTCAGCAGCTACAGAGGTTTGTGTCTACGTGGATTCTAAATGTTGGTAAATCTATAAAATATCAAGCGAGTTTTAAATAAACGATTGATCCATTTTCTTTTTGATGTCAACACATCAGGTCCATCGTTTAAAGCCAGTAACCTGAAGGCAGAGAGGAAGCTGGAGTTCATGCCAACCAACCTCCACGTGCAGAGGATGAGGGTGCAGGATGAGCTGGGCTTCGGTGAGACGCAAACGCAGGTTTTTCTGTGGGGTTTTCATCCTTTACCGACGGTGGGTTATATTTTTCAGAGCACACGTATGATGTGGTAACGATCGGCGCTCCGGCTGCTCACTGCCAAGGTTTTAAAAACGGTGGCCTGAGGAAGCTCGTGCAGAAGTTTGAGGAGGCAAAGAAACAGTAAGTTCACCTCATTAAATGAGAATCAAATGGGAAACTTAAAAAATCAAATGTTTCACAGCCGCTCATATTTAACTTATAATTTAAACGGCTCAAACGTTACTCTGCTTTAATTTGACATGAAATGGATGTTGTTGTTTTTTTATAATTCCTGAATTAATTTTGCTGTTTGGCTTCTGGCTTTCTCCTGATTTTGTTTTTTTTAAATCAGCGTTTATGAGGAGGGATGGTGAGTTGCTGCTTTGTTTGTTTTTATTTCATTATTTGCATCTCTGTGTCACAAATATTTGCTCTTTTGAGTTGCTTGTAATGAAATACAGTTGATTTAAGTGCTGCACAGTTTGCATATTTAACTGTATCTCTGGTCCAACAAAGTTCAGTCAGGTCATCTGGACGTTTTTTTTTTTTTTTTTGAGACGTTTCGTCCTTTATCCAAAGGACTTCATCAGTCCGAGGAGCCACAAACAAACCGATTCCCACAAGCAGCAAACCCAGATAGTGGACCAACCAGATTGATTGTGATAAGATGGTTTCTGAGGCCTGCCCTCTCACTTATCGACTCCTCTGAGGCAGCCATAGCCAAAGTGGTTCAAAACTTCAAAGTTCATGCTGAATAATCCAGGTAGAAAATCCTTTTTTTTTTTTTTTTGTTAAGACTTTTCATCCTTCGTCAAAGGACTTCATCAGTCTGAGAAGGTACAAACAAACTGAATCCCACAAGCATTGTGGGACTCAGTAATAATAATCACTGAATTTTTGCACATGAACTTTGATGTTTTGAACCACTTTGGCTATGGCTGCCCCAGAGGAGTCGAAGGGGGGAGAGGGCGGCCCCAGAAACCATCTTATCACCAACAAACTGGTTGGTCAACTATGTGAGTGCGCTGCTTGTGGGACTGAGTTTGTTGTGGCTTCTCAGACTGATGAAGTCATTTGGATGAAGGACGAAACGTCTCAACAACAACAAAAAAAAACTGTCCAGATGACCTGACTGAACTTTGTTGGATTTTTTTTACCTGGATTATTGAGCATGAACTTTGATGTATCTCTGGTCTTTTAACAACACCAAATTTCACTTGAAAATTAATTTTTGTTTTAATTAAGATGCATCTGAAATTGTAAAATTACAGTAGTCCCTCGTTTATCGCGGGGTATCGGTGCCCTGAAGCCCTGCGATAAGTGGAAAAACCGCGAAGTAGGAATAGTAGTAAAAGTACTAAGTAGTTTATTTTAGTGTTAATATATATTAAGGTATTTTAAACCCTTCCCACATTCTTGCAATATTCTAAACAATGTTTCTAAACTCTAAATGCTCAAAAAGAGCACAGAATGTCATGATTTCAGCTCTCTGCCTTCGGCTGCTCTCTCGGCCACGCCCACTTCTCCGCTTTGCACGGCGATCAGCTGATCAGCTGCAGGTGGAAGCTTCTCCCACAGCTGTGGGCTGCACACAGGTGCTAAATCATTTCAAATAATTTATTTAAAATAAAAAATCCATGCCGATCTTGCGGCTCATCCATCAATCAGCCAGAATTGTGTGTCATGTCTAATATTACTTTGAAACACTGCGATAGAGGGCGTCCGCGAAAAACGAACCGCGAAGTAGTGAGGGACTACTGTATATGATCATTTTGTTTTCCCTAAATAGCTTAATAAAACCACCACACAGAGCTGGCATGAGCTTACAAACACTATATATGTCTGTAAATGTATTTTAATAAAGTTATATTTGATGAGCAATAGAGTATTTTCTTTAGTTTAACCCCCCTCAGACATATTAGTTAACTCTGTATTAAAGTATAGAAAAGCGTGTCGTCAGCGTACGGTTTGATACAAGTTTCTTTACTCCCTACAGCAGCGCCATCTCTAGCTCGCAGTCCATCGTTTACACCCCACAGGACATTGTTCGAGCCAAAGAGATCATCTCCCACATCAACACGCTCAAGACTCAAGTTAGCTACTACTCTGAGAGGCTTTCCCGAGCTGCCAAAGACCGGTCAGCCAGTGGGCTGGAAAGAACGCTTGCTATTCTGACTGATAAGGTAAAATGAAAATGGGGTTTGTTAATGATCGTATCATTACGTCTTTATCATTTTTTTTGTCATTATTATCTGCTCAGACACGTCAGCTAGTGACAGTGTGCGACTGCAAGCTGCTGACTTTGGCCATTCAGGCTTTGGATGCTGCACGACCCGAGTACATTGCCTCGAAAGCATCTCCTTCCACCGAATCCGAACAGGTAGTCCTCCGCAATGACCAGGACACCCTGCTCGCCAAGTGGAGCGGTTGCAACAGTCGTTCATCGCTGCATGTGGACTGGCACGAAGAGGAATGGGTACGTTTCTAAAGTGATGATACGTTTGTAATATACAGTATATCTGTAGGGCATTAAAACACATACAATATATTAAATACATTTAGCACATTTTAAGGCCTTAATCCAACAAAGTTCAGTCAGGTCATCTGGACAGTATTTTTTTTTTTGTTGAGATGTTTCATCCTTCATACTTTCTTTTAACTCGATTAAACCGTCAGCAGAACCAGAACCAGGAAGTGCAGCCATCTGCATTGGCTAGTTAGGGTTAGAAAGGACAGGAAAGAGACAGACACAGAACGATTGGTCAAGATGTAGTTGCTATGTAAAAAAAACGGATTTTAATGATAGAAATAATTACAAACATAATAATAATAATAATGCATTTTATTTGTCAGCGCCTTTCAAAACACCCAAGGACACTTCACAGCATTAAAAACACAGTATTAAACAATATAAAATAACTATTAAAAACACTAAACCAAAAAGAAAATAACATTTAAAAATAACAGTTAAAGTGAAAAGGCTAGCTTGAACAGATGAGTTTTGAGTTTTGATTTGAAGGTCAGAAGGCAGTCAATGTTACGGATGTCCGGCGGAAGAGCATTCCAGAGCTGGGGAGCAGAGTGAGAAAAGGCTCTGTGTCCCATGGTGCTGAGGCGGACAAGAGGCACGTTAAGGTGGATGGAAGTGGAAGAACGAAGGGAGCGTGAATGGGTGGTAATGTGTAGGAGATCTAACAGGTAAGGAGGGGCGAGGTTGTGGATAGCTTTGAAAGTGAACAACAAGATTTTAAATTGAATTCTGAATGTGACTGGAAGCCAGTGAAGTTGCTGTAAAACTGGGGTGATGAACAGTAGAGTAAGTAAAGACAGCAGCAGAGTGAGGAAGTGTGGTTAGGGTGTCCTGCAGTCTAAGCTTATAGCACCAGAACTATGGGATAGCTCAGGAAACCCAAGCCAACGTTATAGGATATAACACAAATAAAAGTCTTGAGTCTAGTCTTAAAAGTAAACGGTGTGTCAGCCTCACGGACAGAAACTGGAAGTTAGTTCCATAAGAGAGGAGCCTGAAAGCTCTGCCTTGTATTGTACTTTTAGAAGCTCTAGGAACCACAGGTAAACCTTCAGTTTGAGGGTGAAGTATTATGTTGGAGAAAATATGGAACAATAAGATCTTTAATGTTAGTTGGAGCTTGGTTGTTGAGATAACTTGCTCCGCTGCAAGTTTTACATAAAATCGTGGTTGATTTTTGGGTCACAGTGTTTTGTTTGATAAGACAGGAAATGCATAAAGTTTCCAAACTGAGAGTTATTGTTTCCTTAAAATCAGTTTATCATTTTCGTTTTGGTAGATCTGACAGTTTTTCCAAACTTACCGTACTTGCCGCCGTAAACGTCGCATCTGTTACGTGTCACCGCTGACAACACGGAAATGTGGGCCGGTGTTGTGCCAAAAATCAATTGGCTACCAAATGGCGGCTGCGGGAGCGTGCACGGGAGGACTTTAACAAGAATTTAAAAGATCATCACTTAAAAACAATTATTTGTTTGCTCGACATTATAGTAAAGGTGTGTGTCAGTTGAACTTTTTCTAAATAAATGCGCTGAGGTTCAGATCAGCTGAATTTCACCTGGGCGGTGCAGCAAAATGCAGTTGATTTGACGTTTGCTCCAGGAGTTCCAGAGCGAGATGAAGGTGGCTTAGTATGGCAAGCAAAGTGTCTCATTAATAGCCACTTTTACCTATTAATGAGACACTTGGCTTGCCAGATTAGTTGAGCGCCCTATAGTGGCTGAAAATGGTAGTGTTCGATATTTTCCATGTCAGAATGAATGAAATCGGCAGATCTCAGCCAAAAATTGGGTTATAAATATGGAAAAAAAAAAAACATAAATAAGTCGCTTCGCTGTATAAGTCACAGGCTTGCTATTTTATGTAAAAAAAAAACCTGTGATTTATACAGCGAAAATTACGGTAATCCAGATCCAACAATGTTTAGTCAGGTAATTGACATTTTCTGTTTTGACTGAGACGTTTTATTCTTCATCCAAAGGACTTCTTCAATCCGAGGAGCCCATCAAACAAACTGATTCCCACATACCTGACCTGATTGAACATTGTTGGATTTCTACCTGCATTATTGAGCATGAACTTTGGTGATAATCCAGAGCGATAAATTCAGTTGTGTAAACCCCGCGTGTCTCTGCCCCATCAGGAGAAAGTGTGGGTGAACGTGGATAAATCTCTGGAGTGCATCATCCAGCGAGTGGACAAGCTGCTTCAGAAACAGAGGAGACCCAGCATGGACAGTCGGGACAGTACTCAGAGTGACCAACAGGGCGACAGCACCAAGAAAGGTAACGCTTCTTTTTGAAGCCTTCATCTGCTCCACCGAAGTCCATTCCCACACCTGTTTTTAAAAAAACAAAAAAAGTAAATTTGTGTCGACTCTGATCTGTGTGGCTTTGAAAAGGTGACAATAAAACACGAGCTTTCTGGATCAACCCTGGAAGTTCATCACAAGACTCCCCTTCACCATCATCCTCATCATCAGAGCCACCTCTACCATCCTCATCATCAGCACCCGCCCTTTCTTCTGCACGCCCCCCCAGCCCTGAACAAACGAACTGTACGTTCATTTTAGCACTTTCTTCTCCTGCTGCTTCGGCAGGGTTCACGCCGATTTCTCTGCTCAGCTTCTAACATGAAAGCATTTCGCTTAAAATCAAAGCAGCTTTTTTTTTTTTACGAACTTTAAATGAAGTCAGACGTGCCTCTTTGTGTTTTGTGCTTCACGTTTGTTGCCAGTGTTAAAAGTTTTGTTCTATACATGTGATTTATGGTCAAACGTCTGTAAAAACATTTATTTTGCCATGAAAGCAGTTCAGAGTTTGCAGAACTTTTAAGACAGAAAAGGCCTAGAAGTCGTTTTTACTACATTTGACCCTGGTCTGCTGTGTTTTATGTGTTTGTCTCTGTCTTCTGTGGCTCTGCTGATCTTGCATGTTGCACCTTCAAACCCTTCTTCAGATGGAAGCCCCTGTGCTGAGGAAGCGTACCCAGGTAAGAGCTGCTCCCCCACTCTGCTCTTGTTCCTTGAAGAAATTAGGCCAGTATCTCAGTGGGTTGCAGGTGGTGAACAGCATTCCACATGCTCACTGTTCTGTTGCTGAACATTTGAACAAGTTCAATAAGTTGGAGCAACGAACGTTCTCTCGAAGTAGTCAGGGTTGTAGCATCGCTCATAGTGGCATGTTGACACCTGAAGAGGAGCTCTACTTTGACAGAAAAAAATGTCAGAGGCTGTTGAGAATGTCCAGGTCTACAAACCACACAGATGATACAGAATAACTAAAACAATATTATTTTTTCATTTAACCTTTATTTATACAATGCAGTCTCATTGAGTCACGAGGACTCATTTACAAAAGAGAGCTGTTTTAAACAAAAATCACAAATGAGGTACACACAACATTCATATGAAAGCAAGCATATAAAAATGAAACGTATATAAAAGAAGTGATATAAAACAAAATAAAAAAAAAAAACATGCTACATTATAAAACAGTGTATAAAACAGGAACATGTCTGCATTGATTCTTGCATTGAACTTAACAGGTGTTCGAAGTTACAGGAGCGGAGGAAGAGAAGGCCTTTTGGCTAGTTCGGTCTGCACTGATGAGGAGACATTATTATTATTATTATTATTAGACCTTTATTTATGCAGGTTAGTTCCCATTGAGCCTCGAAGACTCATTTATAAGAGAGACCTGTTACAAACAACATGCAGGCAGATGAGAAAGAGAACATGAGGGTGAAGGAATCCCCCAAAAAAATCATGTCTCACTCCATGTCCTGGTGGGGCACAGTGCAAAAGTAAAAAAAAAAAAAAGACCTTGCAGCATAAACAGCAACACACAATGACATCATAATGCATTTATGCATAGAGGTCAACAAAGGTGGTGAGTCGCTATGGAAACTCCAGAAAGTTCCAAAGTTCTGATAAGATGGTACAATGTCTATCAGTGTCACAGATGTGATAAGGCCAGAGATGCCCTCGGGAAGGGCAGGCAGATCTTCTAGTTTTCGTATCCTCCAGGATCAATTTGAGATAAGTTGGCCTGTCCAAGGCCAGCGGGGAGGCCAAATTCAGATAAACAATTGTTTTGGGCAGGCAGACTCTGATTTCTGTCTGCCTTCAGTTCTGCTGGTACACTCAATGGCAAATCCAAACAGTCAGATTTGTGGCCATTCCGCCCGGTCTGTGTTCGATTAGCTTTCTCCAAGATCAAATTCTTTATTCCGGTGAGTTCCAGGAGCTGCAAGTGCCCTACGATTCTCAGAAATCATGTCCAGCTTGCAGTTGAGCCCAAGTATATGTAGGACTCGACAAACTCAATAAGAACACCATTTGTAGCTAAAATAGAAGGAAGGACTGCTGCTGGTACCGACTTCCTTTTTGAAAACTACATTCCTTTTGTTTTGTCAGCATTTAGCACAAGTTTGAGACGGCACAAATCTGACTGAATGATGTTGAATGCAGACAGTAAAAGCTGGAAAGCCTTAGCAACTGTTTTAGCTCGACAAAAACAATTGTGTTGTCAGCGTAGAAATGTAAAGATGCATCAGAAATGATATGACCTACATTACTTATGTAGATTGTGAAGCAGGTGGGCCCTAAGACTGAACCTTGTGGTACACCATTGTTGCCAATTAAATAACTGGAAGAAGTACCATTATGTTGAACATATTCCCTTCAATATGAGAGATAATTAGAGAACCAACTAGTAATGTGATCTGAGAAACCAATGTCTTGATAGCTTATGACATAAAATGTCATGGTCCACAGTGTCAAAATATTTATCAAAATCTTCATTTTCTATTCGAATACAGCGTTAATGCCAAATACTGACTGCAAACACAGGTGCAACCTATTATTTTAGATATTGAGTGGCCACTCACAAACATGTGAGTCAAAAACCTGTAAATTATCATCAGCTTGTTGAAGCCACAATCACAGTAACCTCTTGAACCTGAACATAGGTATCATCAAAGTGTAACTGTATTTATAAAGCACATTATTGCTACAAGCATCTCTATGGGTTTTCAAGTAACGGCGTAATACAAAAAGCATAGAAGTAAAAATGCAACAAAAAAAAAAACTTAATAAAGAAGAAAAAATGTAAACAAAATATATTACTCTTTCTCACTTCTAATACATAGTCACTCCATTATCGCAGGGGTTATGTTCCAGACACCACCGTGATAGGTGAAAAACCATGATGTAGGAACGCTATATTTATTTTAGTATTATTATGTATTTTAAGGCTTTTGAAACCCTTCCCCACTTTTGCAATGTTCTAAACTTTTAAACATACGTCATTTTAACAACATACGTAAATGTACTGTACAGTACTGCCTAATTTTACTCACCAGCTCTGCAGAACAGCAGTTCTGTTCTGGTTCGGCAGACCTACCCTGCAGCGACGAAGCCCACCGCCCCGTCCAGGTTGATGTGCTCATGGATAATTGAGCTTAAGGAAGCTTCAGGATTATTTGTGACTTTCCTGCCAGTTCTGTGGCTAATGTGTTCTGACTTTGCGTTGCAAAACTTTCCCTCCATTTCGGCAGAAAGCAGCTCCGGAAGCACTGCTGGCTTCTGGGTAGTGTAGTTCTTTTGACTGGTGTTGCAGTATATGCTTCTTCAAAGAAAGCTACAAAATGGCAGCGCCTGTCTGAAGTATTTTTTCTCATTAATTATCCTGTACCATCTCAATCATGTGAGTAATATTAAAGTTGACAGTAGTTGAAAAAACGAGAAAGAGCGAGACCGCGAATGTCAAACCGCGAAGTAGCAAGGGACTACTTATCTTATTGTTTGAACTGAGCTAAATGAAGAAAACTGCAAACTAAATATAGCAAAGAAACAGAAAAAAGTGCCTAAAGGCTAGCTTGAAGCTAAAACCATTAAATACTGAATGCAGAAAAAGGCTAGCTAAAAGCCAAAAGTAGCTAAAGAAAACAAAAAAGGGGATATATGGATGTAGTCAGAGAAGATATGGAAGAAGTTGGAGTGAGGACAGAGGATGCAGAGGACAGAGTGAGATGGATGAGGATGACTCACTCTGGTATGACCCCGAAGAGGGAACAGCTGAAAGAAAAGGACAAATAAAACAGAGCAGTTTACTGAAGCAGATTTGAAAGAGAAAGTTTTTGAATTGAGTAATGAGATCTGAATACATTTCTTTAGTAAAAAAGTTTTAAATAGATGTTTGCTTTTTCAAAAGTATAAATGTTACAAAAACCAACTGTCATAGCGCCCATCTCCTGAATGAGCTCAACATTTTGATATACAAACTAGAACCTGGCTGATATGGACATTTTGACTATCGTCGATACCGATGTTGGGAGGGGGAAGGCTAATGTCGATAATCGATATAATGGCTGAACTTTTTTGAGCTTTGTCCACCCCTGAGAATCTTAAGTAAATAGCTACTTTAAAACCTGTTTTAAATCTTGAAGTGTTGAAACGGTCTTCCGAACGTGCGTACAGATTTCAGACAAACAACGCATTTCACTGAGGACGACAAAGATAACGTTACCAACACTGATATGTATTTACCTCTACGTTAGATTTATTGTTCTGGATAAAGTTTTACAAGGCAGTAGCCTATGCTATGTTATCTAAACGTTAGCTTGCTAACATGAGAGGCACGTAGCTAATGACAAGCATGTTGGAGGATTGAAGATAATTTATAATTGTTGATTTGTTTTACAAATCTGTTTAAATAAACTTGCCATGCTCTGTTCAGTAAAATACACTGCACAGTATTGCTCCCTGCTTCGGCTGTGCTGAAAGTGAAAGTTAAAGTGAAAGGCCATGACTTGAAAGTAGTCTTCATGCGCCCTCTGCTGGATACATTGTACAATTATGTATTTTGCAAGTATGGACATGGTTTGTTCCCAGTGTTTATATCAGTGCATAATAGACGATTATCACTGATACTGATAGGTCAAATGGTGTCCCGATTGAGTTTGTTGATTCCTATAAATATTTGGGTATCTTGGTCGACTCGCATCTCTCTTTTAAGCTTCACGTGGAAAACTTGGTAAAGAAACTGAAAGTTAAACTGGGTTTCTTTTTCAGAAACAGATCCTGTCTAACCCTGAATGCTAGGAAACGCCTTGTATCTGTGACTTTCCTTCCCTCTATTGATTACGGTGACATTATTTACATGAACGCTCCTACAAGCACCCTGCAGATGTTGGATGCTGTCTATCACGGTGCACTAAGATTCATAACTGGCTGATTATCGTACCCACCACTGCACCCTGTATTCACTGGTTAACTGGACATCATTAACTTCACGCAGACTCTCTCACTGGTACATTTTCATCTTTAAATCACTTCTTGGTCTGTTGCCTTCATACTTCTCCTCCTACATGTCACTGCGTGAGTGCAGCTACAGCGTGCGCTCTCAGGACATTATTACCTGCAGTGTTCCCTCAATGAGGACTGAACTAGGCAAAATGGCCGTCTCCTACTCTGATCCTGTTTCCTGGAATATCTTACAAAAAGATCTGAAGCTCTCGACCTTGACCTCTCTTAAGTGGCTTTAAGAATCTGGTGGACTCCTGGCAGGGACCAATGCAGACATGCTCCTGTTTTTAGTTTTCTACATTTGCTTTAGAATCTAGCTGTTTTTTGTTACTTTTTTTAGCCATCCTATTTGTTAAAAAAACAAAACAATTGTATGACTTTTTATAACTGTTTATTGTTGTTGCCGTTGTCCATTGTTGTCATCATTCTTTGTTGAAATCAGGTCTCTCTTGTAAATGCGTCCTTGAGGCTCAATGGGATTTACCCGTTTAAATAAAGGTTGAATGAAAAAAGGTCCACAAACACCTATATCAGCCTAAAATATCGGCGCTACCGATGTATCGCTATGTCACTATGACATATCAGTATGTCTCTGTGTGAGTGCAGCTACAGCGTGCGCTCTCAGGACATCATTACATGCAGTGTTCCCTCAGTGAGGACTGAACTTGGCAAAATTGCCTTCTGCTACTCTGCTCCTGTTTCCTGGAATATCTTGCACAAAGATCTGAAGCTCTCAACCTTGACCTCTAAGTGGCTTCAAACATCTAAGTTCATGACAAAAACCAACGAAGACATGTTCCTGTTTTTAGTTTTCTGCATCGCGTTACAACCTAGCTGTTTTTGTTTCGTTTTACCCTTTCCTTTTGTTTGTTATTCTCAATCTGTATGCTTTTTATGATTGTCTACTGCTCGTCATCACTCTTTGTTAAAATCAGGTCTCTTTTGTAAATGAGCCCCCGAGTCTCAATGGGATTAACCTGTAGAAATAAAGGTTGAATGAATATCGGTCGGGCTCTAATACAAACAGCAAAAAAAGCACTAAATGTGCAGATGTAGTTGGATTGCAACAAATGCAAGAACACAAACGGCACTGATGCAGCATTTAAACGCATTTTGTTTCCAACAGTAAATAATGTCGCATCTCATAAAATGTTGGAATTAATACATTTTCTCTCTAAATTACTGTCTTTGAAAAACGACTGATCCACATGCCAGGCTCGAGTACACCGTCCACATGCTTCAGGTGCAACTTTAGAGCAGCCTGCAACTGTTTTAGTTCTTGCTTCTGCTTTTATCGTCGTCTGTTCGTCCGTGTCCTAAAAAGTTCAATAATGTATCCACTGAATAATTTCTGTCCCGTGTGCGTTTCCAGGTGAGTGGAGCGAGGCGTTGTACCCCCTCCTCACCACGCTCACGGAGTGCGTCTCCATGATGAGCGACAAGGCCAAGAAGTCCATGGTGTTCCTGCTGATGCAGGACAGCGCCCCCACCATCGCCATGGACGTGTCGCTGCAGTACCGCCGGGATGTCGTCTTCTGCCAGACGGTCAGGACACCGACAGCTGCTTGCCCACACACACACACACACACACACACACACACACACATTTACAAAAATTGGTTAATGCTGCTCATCTAAAGATGACGAAGGAGGTAGCGATGCACGATATTATCGGCATGGTATCATATCAGCCGATATTGGCGTTAAAGTTTTATATTGGACATTCTATTAAAATAACTCGCCGATATAAAAGACTCTGTTTTTGCCTGCAGCGGCAGCACAACGTGATGACATCACGTGCGCCTACCCGATCTCACGGCGGAGAGGAAAATTCAAGTTTCATTCATGTTGGCAGTGTTGAAGTTTTATTTTCATTGGTGAGGATGTCGGGTTCCGAAGATTTATGGACTACGTTGAGCCTCGCTACATTGTCCGCAGTCGGAGATATTTTTCCGACGTAGCCTAACCCGAGTTACAAGCCGTCATTTCCGACATCATTGAGAAGCTAATAGCCGATAGCACGACTTGTTGGGTGAGTTTTACCACAGACATTTGGACGTCATGTTAGCTCCGTTAGCATGATTAAGTCTTACGGCACAATGGATAGACAAAAACTTTGAACTTAAAAAGGCTGTCCTTCATGGACAACTTGGAACCTGGAACAAGCCTCCACAAGTGAGACAGCATCACGGCTGACTAATGCTAATAAATAACATTTAACACTTTTCATTTAATATAAGTTAAATTGCTATGCATAGCATATGGCTGTTACTGAATATATGTCACCAGCTCTTAGAGCTGTTGCACAATTTATGTAGCAAATAAGCCTAAATAAGAGGGTTATGTTCTGACAAAGGAAATTATATAAAGTATCGGTATCGACATATGTTATCGGCCAAAAATTCAATATCGTGCATCCCTAGAAGGAGGTGTTAAATATGAAAACAGGAGCAGAGGTTCAGCTGATTTTCTTTTCTTTTTTTTAAAGCATCAGTAGGTTAGAAAAGGAAATAGATTCTTACTCCAAGAAGGTGTTTGCTCACATTTAAAGGCTCTCAGGTGTTGAGTTTATTGGTATTTAAAGGAAGTTAATAATAAAAGAACTGGGCTTTGGTGCATGCTCGATGTGGTTTTTGCTTGTTTACAAATGACTTGTTGCACATTCATTAAGAATGATGGAAATCCTGTCTGACATGAGTCACCAGCTCTTTTCAGTCTCAGCTGACTGTAAAGATCATGTGACTTAGACCTATTTCCTGTTATGGAGTAATATCTCCAACAAACTGAACAGTTACTATTTTAACTTCTTGTCGTTGTTGATGCTTTTTCCTGCTTGAAATTTGTTTACTGTTAGTAAAACATCTTCACAGTGTAGAATCTGGGGTGACATTTTATTTTTTTCAAATTTGTTGATTTGAAACAGCAGCATGCTGGATAGGTTCATCCCTTTTTAGTTAACTTATAAACATGAAGTTAGCATGTGCATGTGTTTTGTGTGCTTGCATGCATGTGTGTTGCAAAAACTAGAATTCATTTCACCAACGTTCATGCTCAATAAAATCCAGGTACAAATCCAACAATGTTCAGTCAGGTCATCTGGACGATTTCAATCTTTTGCTGAGACGTTTCGTCCTTCATCCAAAGGACTTCTTCAGTCCGAGGAGCCACAAACAAACTGGATTCCCACAAATGCCACACTCCCATAGTGGGGGAAAAAAACTGTTTGCTGGTGATAAGATGGTTTCTGGGGCTTCCCTCTCCCTCGTCAACTCCCTTCACGGTGAAGAGGGTGTCCGTTCCTCGGGGGAGGACTGAAGAAGTCCTTTGGATGAAGGGTGAAGTGTCTCAGCAAAAGAAAGAAACCATCCAGATGCCCTGACTGAACACTGTTGGATTCGTACCTGGATTATTGAGCATGAACTTTGGTGTTTTGAACAATTTTGGCATGGCTGCCTCAGAGGAGTCGACACATGTTAATTCGTTCATTCATTCGTACTCATCTGCTCACACAGACTCATGTTTGTGCTTCTGCTGTTCGGCATATTGTTTTTGTACTACTAGTGCTTAGCACTCCTGTTAAAAGATGGGAGCTGGTTGTGGGTCACTGCATTAGGAAATCCCCTCCAGCCCACATCTCTCCCCCCGGCTTGAATCTTCCTTAGAAGTGGCAATTCACAATATCAATAAATCAAGGAAAGGTCAATTAAGTTTTACAAATTGTATTAAAAATCAAAGCAGAAAAAGGTTACAGTTTACAGCGCTGGGCTCTCCGGTCTGTGACGTGTTCACAAACCCGGAAGAGCCCCGATGTCCTGTGTCATTACTCATTTATAAGGTCCTGGACTCCTCCTTCGCAGAAGGGGAGCTCAACCTGTCAGTGTAAGAGGGGGCGTGACTAAGTGTGATCTCAATGGATCTTATGTGGTTCTGATGTGTTGGGAAATATGAGACGGTGCTTCAAAAGCCTTCCTACGTGATGTAGCAAGCAGCAATGAACTCTATTCCTTGACAGAAGTCTCTTTTTAGAGCTGCTAGCCCAGTTTAACCCAGTCAGAACTGGGTCATAATTTCATTATAATCCCATCTCTGAGCAGATCAAAACCATAGGACCAGACTAAAAATATCTAACACTCCTGTGCATGAAGAACAGCCTTTTTAAGTTCAAAGTTTTCTCTATCCATTGTGGCGTAAGACTTAATCATGCTAACGGGGCTAACACGACGGCCAAATGTCTGTAGTAAAACTCACCCAACAAGTCGTGCTATCGGCTATTAGCTTCTCAATGACGTTGGAAATGACGGCTTGTAACTCAACGTTACGTTGGAAAAATATCTCCGACTGCAGACGATGTAGCAAGACTCAACGTAGTCCATAAATATTTGGAATCCGACATCCTCAACGGAAAAAACTCCCCCACCGCCATTTTGAATTTTCCTCTCCGCCCTGAGATCAGGTAGGTGCACGTGACGTCATTGCGTTGTGCTGCCGCTGCAGGCAAAAACAACGCCTTTTGTATCGACGAGTTATTTTAATGGAATGGCCGATGTCCGATATTAAAATTTAACGCTAATATCGGCCGATACCATGCCGATAATATCGTGCGTCCCTACTTTTTAGCATTTTTTAAGCTAATTTCAGCCATTTTCAGATAAACTGAAATTTTCTTGTGGTAATTTCTGCTACTTTCAGCCTAATTAGCGTCTTTATGCTAATTTCAGATTTTTTTACTGCTTTTTTTCTGCTAGTTTCAGCTTTTTCTGCTATTTCAGCTACTACTTAGCTGTTTTTCTGCTCGTTTTAGCATTTTCAGCTAATTCCACATTTTTGGAGCTCCTTTCCACTCTTTCTACTTCCTTCTGTTAGTTTAAGCTTCTTTCTGCCTTTTGAGTAACTTTTCAGCCTTTTTTTTTTCCTCTCATTTTAGCTTTTTTCGCTAATTTCTTAATTTTTGCACTCATTTCTGCTTATTTTTACCTAATTTAGCAAATATGTGTTCTTTCTGCTTTCGTCTGCTAAAGTAGTCTTGTTTGTCCATTTCAGCTACATTTCAGCATGTTTTTAATTAATTTCAGCTGTTTTTCAGCAAGTTCTTCAGTAATAAGCATTCACACTGCATTTTCGCAGGAAATACAATTTCTCTAGTTTATGTTGATTCATGATGGTTAACTGCAGCAGATGCTCCTTCTTCCTGCTCTGACCGGATGTTTCTGTGCGTTGCAGCTCACCGCCTTGATCTGCGGCTTCATCATCAAACTGAGGAACTGTCTCTGGGACAATGGCTTCCTGCGGCAGCTCTACACCATCGGCCTGCTGGCTCAGTTTGAGTCCCTGCTCAGCACCTACGGTCCGACTCGGCCTCCCTCAGAGCTCAGCTTCCTCTCCTCAGATGCCTTTTCTGCAGAGTTTGTTAATGACTGTGTGATTGTGTGCAGGAGAGGAGCTCGCGATGTTGGAGGACATGAGCGTTGGCGTCATGGATCTGCGCAACGTCACCTTTAAGGTAGACAAATACAGTTGCAATCCGTGGGAAACGTGTCAGATAAGAGAAAACAGACTTTCCTTTTTTTTGTTCAGGTCACCCAGGCAGCTGGAAGCTCCGCCCCCGACATGCTACCCATCATCACAGGGAACAGGGACGGCTTTAACGTTCGCATCCCGCTGCCGGGGACCATGTTTGACGCGCTGCCGCGTGAGATCCAGAGCGGGATGTTGCTGAGGGTGCAGCCGGTTCACTTCAACGTCGGCATCAACGAGCAGCAAACGCTGGCTGAGAAGTTAGTCGGATAAAGATGCTTTCATAGACGCTTCCGCTGCAGGCAGGAAAAACCTGACTGTGTGTGTGTGTGTGTCAGGTTTGGAGACACATCACTGCAGGAAATCATCAACTCGGAGAGTCTCTCCAGGCTCAACTCGTACTACGAACAGTTCAAGGAAGTCCTGCCTGAGGACTGTGAGTACAAGACCCCAACCGTCTCCAAGTATTTGAAGGAAATATTTATTTTATTTATTGTAACTTAAACTGGAATCGAGTCACTGTGTCTGAGACTAAAGTACAACTCTGAGGTTATTTTTTCCACAGTCTATATAACTGAGCTAAAAATACACAATTTATTTTAAAACCAGTCTTAAACTTGATGTAATACTCTGATTGTGTGCAGCTCATGTTCATTTCCAGCATCAAAGCCTCAAACTTTCCTTCAGGCTGATGCGCAGCCGCTCAGCACGTGTCCGTCAGCAGGCTGCTGTTGACTGATTAGCACAAATTGGCGTGTTGTTTTCATTGTTACGGTATTTAAACTAGAGAAATTGAATTCCCTGCGAAAATGCAGTGTGAGTACTTATTGCTAATGAACTTGCTGGAAAAACGGCTAAAATTAACTAACAGCATGCTGAAATGTAGCTGAAAAGGAAGAACAAGCCTAAGAAAGCAGAAAGAACTCTTATTTTCTGAGTTTGGTTTAAATAAGCAGAGATGAGCACAAAAATTAGTAAATTGTCTCTAAAAGCAGAAATATGCGACAAAGAAATAGCTGAAAAGGGAGAAAGAAGTTCAAATTGCCAGAAGGAAGTTAAGAGAGCACAATTGTGCCAAATTAGGCTGAAAAAACAAAAATGAGCACAAAAAAGTGGAAGTTACTATATCTGAAATATTAGCTGAAATGAGCAAAAAACAGCTGAAAAGTAGCTAAAGTAGCCGAAGAAAGCAGAAATTAGGCTGAAAGAATCAGAAATAAGCACAAAGAAAGTGGAAATTATCTGGAAAAAGTTGAAATTAGCAACAACAACAAAACTGTTGAAATTTAGCTTAAATTACTGAAATAAGCTTAAATTGCTAGGAGGAAGTTGAGAGAGCACTTTTTTTTTTTTTGCTGAATTAGGCTGAGAAAGGTTAAAACAAGTGCAAAAATGTGGAATTAGTTGAAAAAGCTAAAACAAGCATAAAAACAGCTGAATGGTATCTGAAATAGCAGAAAAAGCTGAAACTTGCATTAAAAAACTGAAATAATCATAACAAGCTGAAATCAGCAGAAAGAAGTTAGATGAAGCCAAAAAAGTTGTAGTTCATTCAACCTTTATTTGAATGTCCAGAGGACCAGATTGAACTTTTTTGGATTTTTCTACCTGGATTATTGAGCATGCATCAGGATATTTATTTAGACAGGTTAATCCCATTGAGCCTCGGGGTCTCATTTACAAGAGAGACCTGATTTCTTAACAGAGTGATGACAACAGTGACTAACAATGACAACAATAGACGGTCACACAATAGGCATAGGCATACAAATGTAAGTTTCTCTCTTTTTTTTATTTTATTTTATTTTATTTTTTACACATCAAAACAAAATAGCAACCAAAAGGACAATCAAGAGGAGTAGTAGCAAAAAACAAACAAAAAAGCTAGATTATAAGGCGATTTAGGAAATTTAAACACAGGAACATGTCTGCATTGGTTTTTGCCAGGAGCTTAACAGAATGTTAATGTTTTAAAGTAAGCAGAAAGAATCTGAAAGGAGCTCAAAACAGCTTACAAAAACAGCTGAAAGTAGCTAAAATAGCAGAAAGAAGCTGAAATTAGCAGAAAGAAGCAGATACCACAATTTTGTTGAATTAGGCTGAGAAAAGTTTAAATGAGTGCAAAAACTGTGAAATTAGCTGATACGGCTAAAAATATAAAACAGCTAAATAGTAGCTGGAATAACTGAAACTAGCATAAATAAGCTGAAAATAGCATAACAAGCTGAAATTAGCAGAAAAAATTAATTAGGCTGAAGGTAACAGAAATTACCACAAAAAACTTGAATTTATCTGAAAACAGCTGAAATAAGCTAAAAATACTAAAAACATAGCTGAAAAGGTAGAACAAGCTTCAGTTAGCAGAATAAAGTGGAAAGAACAAGTTCGCCCAATTAGGCTGAAAGAAGCAGAAATGAGCACAAAGAAGTGGAAATTATCTTTAAAAAATATGAAATTAGCACAAAAAAACACCCACATGAAAAGTAGCTAAAAAAGCTGAAAGAAGCTTAAATTACCAGAATTGAAGTGGAGACAGCACATTTCTGCTGAATCATGCTGAAAAAGGTAAAACAAGTGCAAAAAATTTATAATTAGCGGAAAGGCTAAAACTGGCTTAATAACAGCTAAATAGTAGCTAAAACAGCAGAAAAAGCTGAAACTTGCATAAATAAAAAGAAAGGAGCATAATAAGCTTATTCGTGGAAAGTCGTTAGAAGAAGCACAAAAATGTTGTTAGAAGGAATCTGAAAGGATCACACAACGGCGCATAAACAGCTGAAATTAGCTGAAAGTAGCTGAAAAAAGTTTAAATTTGCACAAGGAAGCTGAACCGGAACAAAATGAGAAAGGAGCAGTAAAAAGTTGTAAACGCATCTAAAGATCTGAAGGATGGAAAATGAGCTCAATTCATTTTCTATGAGGACAAAAATGGCAGGAAAGGCTAAATATTTCAAAAAGCTAAAGTTGTACCAACGCCTAAAGTCAAATCATCCTTCTCATCCTTGTTTCCCTCCTCACCTACATCCAGGTCTCCCGAGGTCTCGTTCCCAGACCTGTCTCCCTGAGCTGCTGAGGTTTCTGGGCCAGAACGTCAACGCCAGGAAGAACAAGAACGTGGACATCCTCTGGCAGGCTGCCGAGGTGAGCAGACGACTCCAACGTGACGTTTAATTAATCCCAGCGCCAATAATCTGATCACAAACGCGCTTCGTGTCCTCCTCCGTGCCTCAGATCTGCCGCCGGCTGAACAGTGTTCGCTTCACCAGCTGCAAGAGCGCCAAAGACCGCACAGCCATGTCTGTGACGCTGGAGCAGTGTCTCATCCTGCAGCACGAACACGGCATGGCGCCGCAGGTCTTCACACAGGCCCTCAACTGCATGCGCAGGTAGGAGTAAACAAATAAACAAACAGAGTTCATGCACTCCATAAAGGGACAAGTTTGCAGGAAAATACTAATGTTGGATGGCATGCGTGGCTTGTCTAGAATCAAAACATGACGGAGTATGTTCAGGCATGGCAAAACACAGATTAAGTCCCAACTAATAAATTAGAGCTCAAACAACGTCCGGTGTAAAGTCTGTCCTCGGTAGTCCAGGACAGCGTAGACATAAAACAGATGAATCAAAGGCAGCAGGATCAATTTCTCATTGTGTGGATGTTTATGAATCATTCACACTGTTGTGATCTGTTTTTCTTCTGTACGTTTTTCGGCGCGATTCTCGTTCCACAATTTTTGCGCTATTTCAACAAATCGTATATCAAATCAGCAATAATCGGCTTTATTGTCATTGCACAGAGCACACAAACAAACAAACAAACAAACAGGCACAGACTTTTCGTTACATTAGAAAAAGGGGAACACGAGGGAAGAGATAAAAAAAAAAAAATCAAATCTCTGACTGTGTCCGCAGGATACAGTGTGAGGCTGCAAAAAAAATACCCAGCACATAAAAAAACAACATACAAACATGAAACGTATATGTGTGGAGTGGGTGGTGGGTTGGGGGTCCCAGCACAGGCTGCCAAGTGAGTGACGCAGCCAGCTTTGTGGCGCTTTCGCATCTCCGAGATTGCTGCACCAAAGGGTGGACAATGAGGGAGGCCAGCGAAGGCGTGAATTTGAGGGGAAGTAGTCCGTGAGCACTGTCCAGAGTGGCCGCCCCACCACCACCACCCATAGTCCTGATAAGAGGTGATGTTTATCAGCCGGCTCGGTTGACACAGGTCCATGTCCTTGAGTGGGGAGCAGAGCATCTTGTTTCCAGAACATCCAGGTAGGCCTGTCACGATAAACAATAAATCAATTAATCGCATGATGAATGAAAATTATCGACCTCGTTTTCATTTATCGGCTTTATCGTTTCTTCTTGTCTCTCTCTTTCTACTGAAGATACTGGATGACAAAAGGCTCAACTCCGGTGCTCTTCACTGACCTCTCCCTTTCTCTTTTCTATTTAAAATCCATTTTAATCGACCAAAATTGCATTTTTGGATGGTTAAAAGCAGATAAGCTGAGACGCTAAGCTACGAGCTAAACTAACAGGCCGACCTCGAGCAGGAAACCTCCGTCTTGTTGAAGCTCCAAAATTCATGGTTGAAACCCGTGCCTTTTATGTAAAAAGTTGTTTTTCTCTGCAAAAAGAAGCTGAGAAATTGTTTACTGATTTGTTTTAAAAAAAAAATTTTAAAGCTTTGTGTGATATGCTAAAGAGCTCAAACCACACCGAGCGTCCACCATTTTGAGAACCGAAAAGAGACAGCCCATGTCATGTCAAGGGGCCTCCCTCCCATTTTTCGTAGAGAAACACGCTGCTCGCTCCCTCACTATCCATCCTTCGGTTCAAACAGTCTTGTACTGCCATCCGGTGGTCAAAAAAAGGTACTAAATGCATAACAAATTAACAAACATTTCTTCTTAAATTTGACAATAATTACTAATTATTGTCAAAATTTAAACAATATTATCATTTATTGCAATAATTTCTGAGACAATTAATAGCCCAGTAAAATTGGTTATCGTGACATGCTTACATCCAGGAGAAATTGAGTTAGTCAGCCTTCCAAGGCCAGCGCGGGGGAAGCCAGATTCAGCTATCAGCATTTGTTTTGGGTCAGGCCTAGCTGTTAATTTCCGTCTGCGTTTACAGTCTCGCTAGTACAACTCATGGCGACTCAAAACAGCCGAATTGTGATTACATATGCTGAGTTGAGCTTCCAACTTCTCCAATATCTGTTCCCTTCCCACCAGCAAGATTCGCTCGCACAGCATTTGAGTGTCATTCAGCCTGTTCAGGAGAATCCTGCTATGACTTTTTATATTGGTGCAACTTTAGCTTTTTGAAATATTTAGCCTTTTCTGACATTTTTTTTTTTTTTATAAAAAATTAATTGAGCTCATTTTCCATCCTTCATACCTTTAGATCTGTTTACAACCTTTTACTGCTCCTTTCACATTTTGTTCCGGTTCAGCTTCATTCAGCTTATTTGTGCAAATTTAAATATACTTCCACCTACTTTCAGCTAATTTCAGCTGTTTTCAGATAAATTCATGTTTTTCATGGTAATTTTTGCTACTTTTAACCTAATTAACATCTTTATGGTAATTTCAGCTTGCTATGCTCATTTCAGCTTTTTTTCTGCTATTTCAGCTACTTTTAAGCTGTTTTATGCTAATTATAGCCTTTTCATCTAATTCCACATTTTTTGCTCATTTCTGCAGTTTCCACTTCCTTCTTGTAGTTTAAGCTTCTTTATGCCTTTTTAGTTATTTTTGCTAATTTCAGCTTTTTTAGCTAATTTCTTAATTTTTGTGCTAATTTCTGGTCATTCATAACTAATTCAACAAATATGTGTGCTTTCTTCTGCTAATTAGGGCTGAACGAGTTAGGAAAATATTCTAATGGCGGTTTTCTTACCTCAGTATTGCAATTGCGATTTAATATACGATTATTTTTCAATGCCTTCTTCACATGTATTTTTCAACAAACACAAGCAATAAATTGATCAGTTTCAATTAGGCCTGTCGCAGTAAACAATAAATCAATTAATTGCATGACGAATGAAAATTATCGACCTCATTTTTATTTACCGGCTTTATCGTTTCTTCGTGTCTCTCTCTCTTTCTACTGAAGACACGGCTCAAATCTAGGCCTCTTCACTGACCCCTCCCTTTCTCTTTTCTCTTTAAAATCTATTTTAACTATCCAAAATAGCGTTTTTGGATCGCTAAAAGCAGCTAAGCTGAGAAGTTAAGCTACGATCTACGCCGACCTCAGGAATACACCTCCGTCTTGTCGAAGTTCCAAAATTCACCGTTGAAACCAGTGCCTTCGTGTAAAAAGTTGTTTTTCTCTGCAAAAAGAAGCTGAGAACTTGTTTACTGATTTTTTTAATATTAAAAGCTTTGTGTGAAAAATGCTATGATGAAGAGCTCAAATCACCATGTCAGCCCATGTCACGTCAAGGGTCCTCCCTCCCATTTTTTTTAGAGACGCGCTGCTTAACTATCCATTCTTTGGTTCAAACTGTCTTTTACTGCCATCAGGTGGTCAAAAAAGGTACTACAAGCTAAACAAATCAACATTTCTTCTAAAATTTGACAATTAATTATTGTTAAACTTCAAACAATATTATCGTTTATCGCAATAATTTCCGAGACAATTAATCGCCCAGCAAAATTTGTTATCGTGACAGGCCTAGTTTCAATTGCAAAAAACTCCACTGTTTTCAGCTCCGCTGCAACTCTGTTTCTGCATTTTTTTTTTTGTCTAGCTACAGGATAGAGACTTTCTGTACCGCTTATCCACCGTGTTTACCAAAGCCGTAAACCCTGACTTAGTCACGATATCAATGAGCATCATGTCTTTCGCTATGAACTCTGTTATTGCTCGAGTTATTTTCATGTGTCGTTTTGAATTATGTTCATGCGGAGTAATACCTTCAAACATTTCGGTCAGTGATTCCTGTCAGCTCGTACTTTGCTTACTTGAAGTTGAAGCACTGGTCGTTTGCATTCTAGCCATGCAACTATAAAGATTTGTGGTGTTACCTCGAGAGGCAGCAAGGCAGGTTCTGCACAATACGTGTCGTTGCTCAGCGTCTTCTTTTTTTATAGCCAAAATAATTCCAAACAACGGACGTTCTGCTCCTCTTTGGTACCAAACTTTCAGATGTATCCGCTTCTGTTGAGCCTGACTCCATTGTGCAGCTGGTTAAAGTGCAGTGTTGACTTCTCTCGCTCCCTGCTCTGCTTTGCTCACTCGCGAGTCACGTAACCAGATCACGTGACCAGTCAAACCGCAGCCTTTGCAATTAGAAAATGTCTTTTTATCATATCGCGATATTATCGCAAATGCGAGTAATTGTTCAGCCCTACTGCTAATTAAGGCTTGTTTTTTCATTTCAGCTACATTTCAGCTGTTTCTCAGCAAGGTCTTCAGCAATAAGCATTCACACAGCTTTCTCACAGGAAATGCAGTTTCTCTTGTTTCCATTGCCTTCTCTTTTTTTCCTCAGTTCTGTAGTAGAGTTTATGCTAAAACAGATTAGACTGTGACTCGGCGGTGTTGAGAACACAGCCTTCGTGATGACTCGGCAGTAAATGTGATTTCCAGTTTTGAGTGTTTTGTTGTTCTGAACAAACTGTGTGAACTTGCCTCTCTAAATAAACCCTAAAGATACAGTATTTGCATGCTTCTTCACAAAGTTTCTCCATCTTTCTTCTCCTCCTCCCATCTGCCTGCCTCCTCCTCCTCCTGCCTTCTTAGCCGGCGGACTTGATGGCCCTTTTTTAGTTTGATGCATGTTAGAGGCGTTCCCTTTCATGTCCTTTCCCCTTTTTTTCCCCCATCTTTAAATACAACCCCTATTTCAACAAACTTGGGATGTTGTGTAAAATGTAAATAAATTATAAAAGAAATTATGCATTTTTGGGGCAAGGGAAATAAAGTAATTAAAAATTTTCTAGAGCAACATCTTTTAAAGTTGTTCCAGGTCCATGTCTCCCATTGTTCAGCTATAGATGTTCATCAGTCCTGGGTATTCTTTGTTCAGTTTTTTTTTTTTTTTGCTGGATGACATCATTCGTTGTTCTGAAATCCGTTTACTTTCCTGCATCCATGAAGCCTTTCCAGATGTGTAAGCTGGCCAAGCCAGAGGCACTAATGCACCCCCATACCATCAGAGAGGCATGCTTTTAAACTGAGTGCTGCTAACAGGCTGATGGTCCCGCTCCTCTTTAGTATAGAGGACGTAGCATCCGTGGTTTCCAAAATGAATTTCAGATTAAGAGTCATCTCATTAAGAGTCGCCTCAGTCCATTTTAAATACGTTTTGGTCCAGAGAAGACGGCAGCGGTTCTACATGATGTTCACATACGTCTTCGTC